TATTAAGTATGACAATACTCAGAGCATATTAAATTCTTCTAAGAGACTCATAAAGCAAGCCCTGGCCCCAGTTTCAAGAATCCAAGTATGCAACTCTGAGTAAGTGACCTGCTGTGAAAGCACTCTGTAAACTACCAAATGGAGCAGAAATTTAGATAGTAGAATGTTGGTGTATTTTGTTGGGGCTGCTACTGCCTTACCTGATCTCACCAAGCATCAGGTCAGACATATTATAACTATTTAAATTATCTGCATCCTGACATTATTCTACACAGAAAAGCCCTCCATAGGTATAGGCTGATGTAGCAACTTTAGTTCCCTCCACACTGTAGACAGGAGGATTGTCCATGAAGTATGAATGTGTGTGTTCATGTAGTTTTTCTAATAGTCCTCAGGTGCACAAAAAATACAATAACCATATTTTGAATTATTAATTAACATGTATGACTTCTACTTTCTCTTATCTACTGACTTATTTCTTTTTCTTTATTAATATTATTAGTAGTAGTAGTGCTGAGAATTAAACCTGGGGCACTTTACCTCTGAGCTGCATCCACAGTCTTTTTTATCTATTTATTTATTTCCTTATTTTTGGTACTGGAGATTGAACCCAGGGTCGCTTTAACACTGAGCTATATCCCCAGCCTCTTTTTATTTTTTTATTTTTTGACAAAGTCTTGCTAAGTTGCTTTGGGCCTTGCTAAATTGTGAGGCTGGCTTTGAACTCACAATCTTCCTGCCTTAGCCTCCTGAGTCGTTGGGATTATAGGTGTGCATTACACAACTGGCTCGTTTCTTTATTTTAAAAAAATATAACAAACCCCATGAACCCATCACTCAACCCAAGAACTAGATAGTATTAATAATCACATTATCTATGTTGATCTTCTTTCTCCTACCCTTCCCCAAGTGTAATCACTATCCTGTATTTTGCCTTTATCATGTCCTTACTTTGTACATATTCTTATCAAGATTATATATTTACATGTTAAATTAAAATAGGAGATTTAAGCAGAATGGATTCCTTCATTCACCATTAACATGAGTTTGATGAAGGGTAGGACCTGCATTAAAGATTCCAGGAGGGACTGGGGTTGTGGCTCAGTGATAGAGCACTTGCCTAGCATGTATGAAGCACTGCATTGGATCCTCAGCACTACATAAAAATAAATAAACAAAGGTATTGTATCCATGTACAAAAAAAATTAAAAAATAAAAAGATTCCAGGAGATACACAAATGCCTGTTATGGCAGAGCACTGTACTTGGCACTTAATTCATTTTTTAAAATTAGATCTAGCAGAGAAATTTGGCAATTAAATATTTGATGACTGAATCCTTTAAAAAGCAAGAGATTGTGGACTGGGGTCATAGCTCAATGGTAGAGCACTTGCCTAGCCTGCATAAGCCACTGGGTTCAATCCCCAGCACCACATAAAAATAAATAAATAAATAAATAAACAAACAAACAAAATAAAGGTATTTTAAAAAATGATACCATGTTTAAAAAAAAAAAGCAAGAGATTGGCAAGGATCTCTTGGAATTTGGACATACTGAAGAAATTTATGATCCAAATAACTCCTAACCTGCCAACTCAGGGCCAGTTTGCAAAGCTATAGGACTTCCGTATTGCCAGTCCCCACATCTCTCCTTTCTGAAACTTTTTGTCACTTGGCATTAAGGGCCAGGAGTTGAATCTCTGCTACTTGATACCTAATATGAAACTTCTACTCCATCTGTCCTATACATGACGACAGATAAATCTCCCTTAAGTACAGGTCCTATCATATCACTCTCGGCCTAGTACAGAAACCTGCATTGATTCTTTGACATGTAATATGTAAATCCTTAATGTGACATTCAAGGCTTTTTGAGATCTGATCCTAATCAATATTTTCCAGGAAACCAAATTCCTCACTATTCTCAGTGCATGCTTTCCACATTAACCAATGTTTAGGCTGTTTCTCAAAGTGTAGTCTACAGATCAGTAGCATCAGTTTTACCAAGAAGTCAGTGAGAAACGTAAATTCCTAGATCCCATCCCAGGCTTACTGAATCAGCATCTGCATTTTAAAAACATTTGCAGGTAATGCATATTCACATTAAATTTTGAGGGTGTGATGGGGCTTGACCCAGTGATATTTGAGGGGCTTTTATTATCATCTTTTATTTCCCTGCAGAATGTTTGGGCACCTAGAAAGCAAAAGGTTATCCAAATTATGTGCCTAAAATATGTTGGCCAGTCCTCAGAAACAAGGGAATACATTGAATGGCAACTATAAATATCTATAGATTGACTAATTTCATTCTAGTGGCTACAAAGTTAACCAAAATTACAAATTCCCATTCTATTGTCTGATAGATMAGGCCCAATGACCTAAACATCTCCTTCATACAAACATTCATGGGGTCTTTTATGGATAGAATTTGTGTGTGTATGTGTGTTGTGTGTGCATGCATGTGTATGTTTGTATGGTATGCTGGGGATTGAACCCAGGGCCTCATGTATGCTAGGCAAGTGTTCTACCACTGAACTATATCCTTAGGCCTTGGGTAGGATATTAAACAGGAAAGTAAATTCCAAAGGAAAGTGACCTTAAAGCCTAATTTGAAAATCAGACATGAAAGCTGTGTGGGGGCCAACTGGAAAACTGTGTAAGTTCCCTTTAAATTAAAATTAAGAGAATAGGTTTACTTGATGGGTTCCAAGGTTATATGGGACTCTAATATTCAATGATTGTATGACTCTAGGGATACCACTTCTGTACTGTCTCGGAAATGACTGTAGAAACCAGGACAACCATGAGATAAACTGTGAAGCTACAAACCCTGCCTGCCTCACTCCATTCCATTTAAGCCTCATTTTCTTCGTGACCTCAATTCCAAAAGCTCCTGCCCTACCTGGGTGTCTCTTCTCACATCCTGGCACTTCAGACTGTCCCTTGACTCATGAGCTTGTCACTGTCTCTTTTCAACTCTGTACCACAGCTTCTCAGTCTTCCCACAGTTCAACACTGTCAGGGTGGCAAATAGCTAAATGAAACCGTGCTAATAGAAGAAAGTTCTGGAGAAAGACATCCTGCTAACCTGCCCTAATCCCCCTTCTCCTCCCCTGTGTTATTCTTCACGACTTTCTTGAGAAAACCATGGTGGGATATCATTACATCATATTCTACAGTGAGGGGCCTGGACCTAGTGATAATTTACTCTTTGGGCTGCTTAATTATATTTAGTTCCTGAACACACTTTCTCTTCTGCCTTCACTAAGGCCTCTGACCAAGGTCTTTGGGACTTTAACCCAACCATGTTTCGCATCAAAAAAAAAAAAAAATAGAATCAGCACAATTATTACACATCTCTCCCACATTTAACAAACAGCTTTTACACACTGCAAAGTTCAATTTATCTTGACAACACATGTATTTTCTAATACATCCAAGCAATAAACAGAGACCATTCTCAGAGTTAAGTTTATGACCCAGCATCCTGTGTATGTGAGGGCTAATGATGGACATTTCTGTTCGTAATCTTACGAGGTCTCTCCTAAAACCGAAGGCTGGATATAAAGTAGAACTTCAGGCTACTCTTCAGAGCCTAGGTCTCCTTTCCCCTAACCTCCCAATCTGTACAAATTGGGAGGACATATTGCACAGGTCAAGGAAGTACATCTGTATGATTGATAGAGGTTAAGAGCTCTCTGTTTTAAAGATGCATTGGGTGGATTTTATTCCTGGTTTCTTCATTTACTAGAAAATTTATATAAACTCTCAGAGTTTTTCCTTATTTGTAAACAGGAACAATAATATCCCTACATGTTGGGGTTATTGTGAAGAGCGAATGAGGTTATGTATATAAAGTGGTTAATACAGCGCCTGTATGATTAACTTCATTTTGCAGTTATTAAAAATAAAGCTCAAAGAGGGTGGTTGTGCGAGGTCTTTTTCTTTAATTTGCAAAGCCTGCTTAATGCCACAGATTCTCCTCTTAGGAGTCTTCTAGTTATACAGAGCTCCAGCACATGTGGTGGGTAACCTAACACCCAGCTAATGACAGTGTGTGGTCTTAACTGTCCTTATGCACACAACACTATTCCTCTTGGCAATCACTTGTGTGTGTGTGTGTGTGTGTGTGTGTATTGGGGCGGGGGGKAGGGGGKGGGGGACAAACAGAAGTGCCATGACTGCTTTTAAAAATTGGGCATGACTTTATAACATAAAAACGTATTACTAAAAGACAAACATCCTCTTCCTATTTGAGACAAACATCTAAGGACATAAAGTTTTGGGGTTAAATATGCAGGTCTCTTCTGCATTCAGCAGGATATACAAGACATTCAAGACATTAAAAGGAATCTGATCTTCCCCATCTCTGAGAGGCCTTGTCTGCTTCAGAATGCCTCCACGGGATCGGGTGTCACAGGGTTGAAGAGAGAGCTCTTCCAGTTTAAACACAAACGGAGGGGTGGGAGGTGTTCATGAAGACACCGTGTCTTTGAACCAGTCTATTAGAATAAAACACATCAGTTTTGATGTACCCTTGAGAAGAGATCTGTTTGGAGGGATAAGTCTAAAGGAAGAAAACACGTGTGTACGGGAGAGAGATCTAGGGAGGGATCAGACCAAAGTGTAGTGGCAGAATTTTGCTAAGAATTGGATGGAAAAGATATTTATTTCTTCCAAGACAATAAGGCTCTTAATCCTAGGCAACTTTTCTTTTGATATCACTCATCAGCTTGATGACTGTACGTGTTGGAGAAAAGAGACCCCAAAAGCACTGTAGATCACTCACTTGAAATGTGGGCTTCTGACCTACTATTCCTTTGCCCCAAGGCCATTTGATGTCCTTATTTTATGATCAAATTTAACAAAGTATCCAAAATCCAATCTTTACCTGAAATTGATATTTCCCTAACAAAACAAGAAATACCTTGCCATATAATTCAAACGAAACACCCATTGAACTTAGTATTTGAGTCCTAAGGCCTGAATTTTTTATATGGAAAAATTCTACAAAATGGGCTTTTAAAACTAGTTCCTGTATTTCCAAAATTGAGAGTCTGAGAAATGACAACAAAACAAAGTGGAAGAACTTTTCATTTAAAAGCGCTGGCTCTTGGAACACTTGCTTCTAGAGCCCGAAGCCTCCATTTAAGGAATCCAACTTCTCTAAGGTCACCATGCTGTGAGAAGCCCTCATCACATGGAGAGGCCCTGAAGACTGAGACACTCTGTGGAGAGAGAAGGAAACCAAGGTGACAGACTTGAGAGTGAAGAAATCGTGGTGGACACGCATGATCAAGCCCTATCTGCTAGCCCACAGATTAGAGATGAACTGCCCAGCTAGCTCTTCTTGAATTCCTGATCCCAAACAACAAGCCACAGGAGAAAAACTGCATGTCCCAGAGGAGCCTCCCAGGGAGCAGTCGTTAAGATAAGACCCAGTTGTTTCCAAGTCCACTAGGATCTCCGCATCACGGGAAAGAGCAGCAACATGCGTGATTCATGACCTGGTCTCCTATCCTTTGATGAAGAAGCCATCTGAGAAAGCCCATGAATGGTGAGGACCTTAACAAGAAGAAAACAATTACAGTAAGGGTTAGGCGACATAGATACCCAGTAGAAAGTACCTTTTTTATAACAGGTATCTTTTATGATAACTTGTGGAGTTATTAGAAACTCTATCAAAATACTGATGAGATATTAAAGGAAACTAAAAATCAGAACAGTGAGTATTTTATTCTAAAATGGAGAGATAGATGATCAATAATGCCAGAATAGACTTCCTTCTTCTCCTTTTTTTTTTCACATACTTTAATGTAATTTATTTATTTCTCTGATGCTGAGGATCCAACCCAGGGTCTTGAACGTGCTGGGCAAGTGCTCTACCACTGAGCCACAACCCCAGCCCCCAGACTTCTTTCTTTTCACTGAGCAAAATCCAGAAACTTGATAAAACTCTGGGTCAGAGGCAAAATTTTAAGTGCAACCAAGTAAAATTTCAAATCATCCAGAAAACAATAGCTCAATCTTGACATTAGCTTAATATGTTAGAGATTTTTAAAAATGTAATTTATTTTTCTAAAAGACAAAAAAGGGGAGAGACAGAGACAAATATGAAGGATGTATGGTAAAGAATCAAGAGATCTAGAAAAATTAAAATCAGTAGAAATTGGTCTACATAAACTAGGGAGGAAATGGTAAGGCACATCTTTAGAATTTTCCATATACCAAAACTTCCTTAAGAATGTTTCAAAGGCAACATCAAGATATTTATTTGGGGCTAGGAGTATATCCAGGACATATATAACATATATAATTATTAAATAATATTACATACTATTATATAATAATGTGATATATAACTAGTTGTTCTAATTAATATTAACATATTACATTCTACATTGATATAATATTATACATTAATAATAACCATATTAAGTGTATTACTATATATGTAAATATATTTATAGCTAAAATTAAAAACAAGCATCTTTCACGATAACTGTTGCTTTATGGAGACTTCAAATTAATTATCTTTATGGGAATAAATGTTATTTAGTGTGGTATCTGTTACCAAGTAGGAAATAAATATTTAAAATAAACATAGAATCATAAAATAGGCCAATCCAACAAAAGAAAATTGATTGGAATAGCACAATAAAATTTGTCACCAAGTCAAATAACTTAAGTAACATTTTAAAAGAACATACCAACTTTAGCTTATTGTATAGTCAAGGCAATCTCACTAAGGTGATATTTTAAAACTTTTAAAATATTATGCATTACTAAACCCCTCTTTACCTCATTTCTCTTTTTTTCCCATTTGTTTCTAATAGAACTACTATCAAATTCTTGAGTTGTTCACTTCTAAATAGATTGAATGCCTTATTTTTCAGATCACTGAACTCACATAATATTCACGAAGCTAGTACAACTCTGCATACACCCTAGCTATTCAGGCAATGCCATGAGAGCATCATCATTGTTCATTTGTATGATGTCCATGTATCTTGTCATCTTTCCAATGTAACATTGCCAAGGTCTTGGACTCTTCATTTGGTGGAGTCTAATTCTGTTCTCTTTACAAAGAGCTAGGGTTACACTCAGCAAAGGTTACCATTTACGTGAGACATGAAGCCTGCAAGCATAACTCATCACCAAAGTAAAATTCCTAGCTATTTTTTCTCTCAAGGACATCCCCAGTGCTACCTAAAATCAAGAAGGAATACTTCAGGGCAGTTTGCATTGTAGGGACCACATTTTTATTTTGATATTCTGGAGTATGGTATATTCATAGTAGTCAAACAAAAGACATTATATTCTTTTGAAAATCTGCTCTTCTATTCCTTAGAGGGAAATATAGAGGAATCAAATACAAAGATTACAGCGACTTTAGCAAGAGAACCCAATATTTAAGAGTGAGATTTTTTTCAGAAATTATTCCTTTGTATGTTTGATTTTGTTTTTATCACTTACTTTAAATGAATTCTGAAAGAGCTATTTTAACAAATAAATAACTTTTTTTAACTATTTAAGTAATTTCTAAGGCTCAACATGAAGGAGTGGCAGGCAAAGCCACTGTCCCAGGCACTAACTGCTCCTGCTTTTAGCACCAACATCTTTCTTCCTCTTACTTGGTACAGATTTCCTCTACTCTGGCATTTCTGAAGATCAGAGACTTAAAAGCATGGTCAGACCCTCAAATTAAAAAAAAAAATGTTTTAAAAGAACAAATATTAGGCCTAGAAGAGCCTTTAGAGAGTATCTCACTTCTCATCAGATATGAGATAACTGAGACTCCAAAGTTTTTTTCCAAAGTCATAACCAATTAATGACATTTAAAACCACAATTCAGACTTCCTTAGTGTTGAATTAGTGCTCTCTCCCAACACGACGATTTCTTTATATCTTGTCCATTTCTACACTGATCTTCAGACAGATTTTTCAACTCAGTGGCACACCCCCAGTAAGATTGAGGGCATTTCTTGATCCCATTAGTTATCATTTTCACCTTTCATTGGTTGGAAGATCTGAGGCAGGAAATTGGAAGTCCTACTTGGCCTCCTTGTCCCAGGGATTAAAAGAAAAGTGTGGGCTGCCTAGTGCCTTGCCTATGAAGTTGGATTGCTCATTCTTGGAACAGGAAGCATCTGGAATGTTGGGAGGCCCCCCTCATGATTTCCCTTGGATAAGATTAGATTTTGTTCTTGTTGTTTTTCTCATTAGCCTAGGGGCATAGGACAATTTCCAGTGGTAAAACCTGAATCCCACTTACCACCAAAACAATTCTGTTAATATTTTCCAGCTTCTCCTTTAAGAATGCCAAGGAGCTTAGAGGAAATTTTAGCCTCTTGCACCAACTGACCTTATATTTATTTATAAAGCGTGGTTCTTCCAAGAAGTTCCAGAAGTTTCATGCACATTCTCTCACTTAATCCYTCTCTTCCCATGGGGGGAAGCATTACATTTTTATCTTCCTGCCACAGCCAGTTTCTCTGTTGTTTAYTGGGTTTCTCTCTAGACTTTGCTACTTGAAGGTTAGATATTCTCAAGTCAAAAACATTCTCAGCTGAAATCTCAACCAATACTGCTAACAAAAACACACTCATTCATCATACATATACATACTGTTCGCCTCTTGTCTGACACTATTCTAGGCACTAGAGATACAGGAATGAGCAAAACAGACTGTCTCTGACCTCATGGAGTTTACATTCAGTAAAATGGCTGTTGTATTACCCAGTAAATTCAAAATTATAAATACACTCTAATCTGATAACAAGAAAACTAATTTCAACTTTATGGGTTTTTTAAATTTAATTTAATTTTTTGGTACCAGGGATTAAACTCAGGGGCACTTAACCACTGAACCATCTCCAGTCCTTTTTTTGTGAGACAGGTTCTCACTTCGTTGCCTAGGGCCTAAGTCATAAAGGCTGGCTTTGAACTCATGATCCTCGTGCCTTCTGAGCCAGTGGGATTACAGTCATGTGCCATCATGCCTGGCTCTAATTTCAATTTTACAGACTAATGGCCATAGTTTCAAACATATATGATAATAAAGCCCAATGGCATAGGCTTGTAGGGATTGCACTGAAAGACAGGAGACTCATATTCTAATCCTGAGTCTTCTACCAACAGTTTGTATGACCTGAGCCAATAATATCATCTCTCTGATACCAGATAAATGACATAAAAAATACCAGACAAAAAGATTTCTCATGCCTTCTCTTGGTCTACAATTCTATGGTTAATTAATTGTACATAGGTTATGCAGTGTTAGGACTTACTGCCAAGGTCAAAAGAGGAGAAATTCTTCTGCATCAGTTGCTTTTATGTGTAGGGTGGGATTGAGGGAAACACCACAAAGCAATGCTTGCTTCCCAGGAAAACTAATCACTGCAAAAACAAACAAACAACAACAACCAATAAAATAAATCAATAAAACCAATCAACTCTACACCTATTATGTATTCAATTCGAGACTAGATACTTTGGGGATGGTAGATATGTAAAAAGATCTCTGAATTTAAGAAGCTTCCAAACAAAAGTATATGATAGTAGATGGTTAAAAATAAAAGTGTATTTTTATAATACAAGGTTCTAAGTTTACAAGAGAGCAAAAAACCAAGAAGAACTAGATTAGAATCCTCTGAGGAAAGGCAGCATATCACCTGTATCTCTAACGACCATCACAATAATAATAGCAACTAACATTTATTGAGTGCTTGATATATGCCATATTTGAATTAAGTGATTTGTGGGATATTTTATTTAATCCTCAAAACAACCCTAGAAATAAACAACACTATTTTTCCTGTTACAAATGGAGAAAACTAGACTTCCAAGGAAGTCTAAGGTACCTAATGGTACAGCCAGGCAAGCAACCCCAGAGTTCTTAACTTCATTTAATGGTTATGGACGGCTTTCCCACATATGAGATAAGGGGATAGCACAGTACATGGAACATAGTTTAGTGTTTCAAAATTTTGCTTCCTTCCTTCTAAATCCTCTGTCCTTCACTGCCACTTGCTCCCAAACCCTTTTCCTCATTCACATCCATGTCCTTCCTTTTCCAACTTTAAATATTCTGCAAAGTTCAGTTGAAGATCTACCCTGTGCAAGAAGTGCTTCTAGACCAACTGAGCTTCTGTCCCCTTATTTACTTCAAACATCTACTTCAAATATCCTGTGAGGTAATCATGTGCTCTCTTATGATGTCACTGTCACTACTTAATGTCCTTTGATATTAATCTTACTGATGTCTTATGGCATTTTATCATGAAACTTATATTATTACTATGTATATCTTGCATTATTGAGCTTTGCTATGGTTTGAATATGTGGAGTCCCTAACAGCTCATGTGTGAGACCAATGCAAGAATATTCAGAGGTGAGATGAGTAGATACTGAGAGCTGCAACTCATAAATGGCTTAATCCACTGATAGGAATTAACTGGGCAGGCAGGGTGTGGTTGGAGAAGGTAGGTCCCTGGGGCTGTGTCTTTGGGTTATATATTTTGTTTCTGGTGAGTGGAGCACTCTATGGTTTCTGACTACCATGTCCTGAGCTATTTTCCTCTTCCACACTCTTCCACCATGATGTTCTGCCTCACCTTAGGCCTACAACTATGGAGTCAGCCAATCACATACTGAATCTCTGAAACCATGAGCCAAAATAAATGTTTCCTCCTCTAATTGTTCTTGTCAGCTCTTTTGGTTATAGTGACAAAAATGCTGACTAAAACAAGCTTCATATAATGTAACTGTGTCAACTAACTCCAGACTCTTTTGTGTTGCTCCTGGAGTCCTGGCATAGAAGATATCCAGAAGCATTCACCACTGCAAGAGTTTGAGTGTTTGTGAAGTTTTCATTCATAGAAAAATGATCCAAGCCCAGCAAATGCAGCTCTTTTAGGTTGAATCCACCTTGTGTATTATGGCATTTTATCATGAAACTTATATTATTACTATGTATATCTTGCATTATTGAGCTTCATTTAATGGTTATGGATGGCTTTTCCACATATGAGATAAAGGGATAGCACAGTACATGGCACATAGTTTAGCGTTTCAAAATTTTACTTCCTTCCTTCTAAATCCTCTATCCTTCACTGCCACTCTTTCTGTTTGTGCATAATTTTGGACTAAAAAAAAAAAGAAAAGAAAGAAAGAAGGAAAAGGTAACTAATCAACTCTTACAAATATAAAACAATAGGCAGCTCCAGCCCATAGATTTATTTTTAATCTTACAAATGTATTATGAGATATTTTATACAAAGGAGTAAACATATGTGTGTGTGCGTGTGTATACATACACACACACACACACACACACACACATATATATATATAAACTGTATACATGTATGTGTTTGTGTGTGTATGTGTATGTGTGGATATATATATATATATATATATATATATATATATATATATATATAGTTTTAAAAAACCCAAATATATGTTCTGTAACCACTATCCACCTTAAGAAATAAAACATGAAGTAGTATTAGCAAATCTTGTACATCACCTAAATTGTTGTCTAAAGCAATTAGCAAGCTGATATCAGGTCATAAAACTTCAAAATGATCAGGAGTTTTTGAAGACTGAAAAAAGTCATGAGTATGAAGGGATTTATGTATTAAGATTAGGAGGAGATTAGACAAATCTACTCCCAATGATAATGTCAAACACAATATGCACAATTACCATTAAAGGGGGAGCTAATTTTTTTCATTAAAGTATTGTGGTATAAAGTAATTTTATGGTCTGAAATAGTTAAAATCTTAAATATCAATTTTAAATCTTAACTAATTTTAACTATTCTATTTCTATAAACTAATAGCTTTCATAATATAATATATTGTTATGAAAGCTAATCTACATCTTCCAATCTACCTGTCCTGGTAATAACATAAAAGTTCTTAAAAGTGGAGCCATGGGATCTAAATGTTGATTTAGAAAAATAAATTACCCTAGCTACAGATTTATTTTTAAAGGATCAGTTTACAAGTCCAGAAGATCCTAACTCTCATATCTGTAGAACTATTGATTCTGAAGGTAACTCTAAACTTTCAAGTAGCTAACACAGAAAGAAACATATCAATACTAAGATTCACAGTGTCTATGAAGAGAAACTAAACTTATCACATGGGAGAAGCCCAATTATTCCTGATACTAACAAATGAGATACATTTCTCTAGAAAATCATCACAGAGATTATAAGAACATTGGCAACATCTTCTATGGTCTGAATGTTGATATTCCCCTAAAATTCATTTGTTGGAATCCAATACTCATTGTGATGGTATTAAGAGTTAGGATCTTTGGGAAGTGGTTAGATCAGAAGGGATCCAACCTCACAAATGGAATTAATATCCCTATGAAAGAGACTCCAGAGAGTTCCCTTAACCCTTCTGCCATGTGAAGATGCAGCAACAAGGCACCATTTACAAAGTAGAGAACCCTCACTGAAYATCACATCTGCTGGCTCCTTAATCTTGAACTTCTCAGCCTCCAAAACTGAGTTGCATTGTTTATAAGCTACTTAATCTAAGGTAGTTTGTCATGGTAGCCACCCCAAAACCAAGACAGCATTCTTCCTTATTGTAAGTACAACAAGGTGTTTCAGTAAGGTACACTACAAGGTATTTCAATGGATTCCTTATCACAAATATGCTGTAGGCCTCAGATCAAAACATAATTTCACAGACATGAATCTATGTCTTTTGTCTTAGTCTGTTTTTGGTTGCTATAACAGAATACCTAAGACTGGATGATTTATAAAGAAAATATGTCTATTCAGACTCACAGTTCTGGAGGCAGGGGAATTCAAGATTGAGTAGCCACTTCTGGTAAAGTCCTTGGGGTGCTTCATAACATACCTGAAATTGAAAGGGGTACTGGGCACATGCAAAAGAAGCAAAACACAAGGGTCAGTCTCACTTTACAACAACCCACTATTGGGGTAACTAATCCTTTGAGAAAGGCCTTAATTCCTCTAATCACCTCTTAAGAGCCCCACCTTCCAAAACCCTTACAAGGGCAATCAAATTTCAACCTGAGTTTCAGAAGGAAAAAGCCATAACATCCTTTGAAATGATGTTTTTGAGAAATGACTCAACACCTTTTCTAGGTACAAGCTTTATAATTGTGTAAAGGTAAACATCTGGACTTTTCGAACTGAGAATTTTCCATCCTTAAGAATTCCAATGTTCTGGATTAACCTGCTGTCTGTAACTAACTTGCTGGTCCTRAATACCATATACATAACCTATTTTTTATGAAATGCTAGCAAAATTTAGACAGAGTTTCTTTTCTTTTTTCTTTTTTCTTTCATGTAGGTGCCCAAGAAAGTAAGAAAAAGTATCATCTCTGGAATTGTGCTTGGAATATGCAACAGACATGTCAGAGTAAGCACAGAATCACATGTGGATGTGCATTTGTTGTATATGAATATAGGAGAAATTCCACTTAAAAAATAAATACCCTAAGACTTCCCAGAGAAACTCTGAAGTGTCTATTTGCTTTATGAATTATTTCTTCTGGATAATTTATTTCACAATAGTCCATTGATTACTACATTAAGGCAAAGAAAATTTAAAGTGAAATTATTGGGAGATATAATTCTCTAATAATCTATTTCCAAGGGGGGGAAGGCATTGAAATTATTACTAAAATCTAGAGAAAACTAAGAAATATAAGCAAAAATATGTGCTATGTTCAAAAGTATATAGTAAGGCTGTGCTGTCAAAGTCACCTTGAATCTTTCTCTTACTGGGTTTTGTTTGCTTTTGATTTCTCCACAGGATAAAGAAGAAAACCACTAGAGTTTCTCTGACCATCAGTTCTCCAGTTAATGAAAACTCCAACATCAGATCAAGTTATTCTACGTTAGTTCAACCATTGTGTATTGACCCCCAGAGGGTAGGTTTCATTAAAATGAAACCTTCTGAAAGGGTACCAATAATGGAGGCTGAGGTCAAGAAAAAAAGTTGATACAACTTTCTTTAAAAGCGTGCACGAGAACAGCTCCATGTACACAACCTCAGAAGGAACAGGAAAGGCAACTCATGGGTGTCAGGAATAACTCCAGGGCAGCTCTGTGACTTGGCCATTTGTCTGTGTGCCAGACCAGAGCAACAGTTCCCTAACAGAGCATTCCAATAATCCAAGGAATGAATTCCCTTTTAATTAAAAAAAAAAAAAAAAAAAAAGGCCGGAGATGCCTTTTTTAAAAAAAAAAAAACTACCAGAGCAACTGTATGAAGAGAGAAAAAAAATTTAGTCGGTAAAATTTAGAAGTTATTTAAACCTTTAACATGCAGTCTCTAAGTGCATGCCAGTAACCATTTCTCAAAGGCAATTGCTCAGTGTTCTATTTCATCGTCTCCGCTGATGGAATGCTGGAAGAAAAAGAAGAAAGGGTGGCGTCAGAGCAGACATCCAAACTGACATTTAAATTAGAAGTMTCATCCTTTCCAAAAAGGAAACTCGGGGTAGGGTGGGTAGTGGCTAAAACTGGACTAGTTCATAGTAACTAGAACGGATGCAGTTAGTTTATGGCCACTAAGTACTTGGGTTTGGGGGCCTTGATAGAATGGATGATGGCATCATGTTCTCTTTTATTCTCCAACACAGATGCAGAGCCCCTGCAGTAGCCTGTCAGGATCCATTTGTGTTGTGGCCCCTGTGTTCACCAAGGTAACCTATCCGTACTGCATGATAGAATTTGGATTTTATAGATAAATGGTAGACTTTAATGAAGGAGTAAGAAGAAGGAAAGAGAAACCAGAAGAGATTTCAGAGATTATTATCATTTCATATAGGAGAAAACTGAGGCCAGGAAAGAGTAAAAAGATTGGCTCGATGTCCCAGAGCAACTCTTGGTTTATCCCATGCTCTTTAGACTTTTGCTCTGTGTCAATCCTCTAGCTCTGGAGAACAATGCTTAGACCAACTTTTTTAGGGAGACTGTGCTCTGCCAGACCTTAAGATACAGTCAAATTCTCCCAGTGATTCATAAGATGCCCTTCTGATAGAGTCAACCAGCAAGGTAGTAGCTACTTCCTGCTAAGGTCATGGTCAGAGGCCACTATTTCCCCAGCCATCCACTGAAAACATCTGAATTCAATCACGTAGGTTAAAACAAAACTAGACCTGAGCCTTCTCTGGTCAGTCTCCTAGTTATGAAATCTAACAGAACCGGAACCACTGCCCACTGCTGGCCCAAAGCATGAAGAGCAGGGCCAGGATTTAACCGGCATTTCCTCCTCATGAGGCACACATCTGTCAGCAGGTGTCAAGGTTAGGCTGTCTTTAGGTCTCATGTAGGTCTGACCTGACAGAGGATCTAGATACATCCTTTTCTKGCCTCAGAACCAAGTTATAAACTGGAATGTAATTCTGGGTTTTAGAAGACCTTGGGGTTGCAGGTAGGGAAGGAAGAGGGATCCGGATTTAAGATGTAGGTTCACCACCAACACCACTCACTCGCTCATTTGTGCATCGTGAGACTGAACTAGCTATGGTTGATAAACACGTCTTATATATCAATATAACTTTTAGGCCTCACAGAAAGTTTTTAGATTATTTATATGAAATGAGCCTCAAATCCTCCAGGTAGGATGTGCATTTTGCTAGCCCTGTTTCACAAAGAACCTGAGTTCCTCAGAGGCTGAGTCTTTTCTACGTCCCTAGAACCAGCTTCCACCAGCCAGTGACAGTTGAGATTTTGGCCCAGGTCCTGTAAATCATGATTCAGGGGCTTTCAAAATCAACAATATTGTCCATACTACCATAAACAAAACAATAAAGACCAAATCTGTGACTAGATACGTACTCCACAAAACAATCAAATTCATCACAACAAAGGCGTTTCCACTAATCTCTTTTCTAATTTGAAAAAAATGGCTCTGAGGGAAGCAAACAACAAATTTTTTTTTTATTGTACACTATGAAGTTAAGATGAAAATGACTTACACTTGACTGTAAAATATAAGGTCCCAAACAATGCCCAGCAGCTCCTCGTTTTGCTTAACATGCAGTCAGTGCTCAACAGTCACGGTGCCAAAGTGTGCACATGTCCTGCAGGTGGCACATGGTACAGGAGCTTCTTCCTTTCAGCGAACTCTGTTTCTGTTCTTCAGCATCTTCAAGACATCTCTACAACCAGAGGTCAGATTGTYGTGTTTGAATGCCGAGTGCAGGCCACGGCTTCAGTTCAAGTTCACTGGTACAGAGAGGAAGAGCAGATTGCCAGCTCAGATGACTTCCGGATTCTGAGGAAAAGTATCATGACAAAATTTTCAGTTGCATTTACTTAACCTTGAAATCAAATTCATGTTTTTAAGTAGTTCAATAGCTGATGTGTTACAGGCTAAATCATTTCTACTGTTAAATAATTGTTTTTTCAAATCCAGATAATTCCTCATCAAAAACAACTTGGGGATAGAGCTCACTTGGTAGAGTTCTTGCCTGGCACACACAAGGCCCTGGGGTCAATCCCCAGCAACACACACACACACACACACACACACACACACACACACACGAAAAGATAACTGTTTGTTTTAATGAAAGAATACATTTTTTTTGAGGTGGCATATGTCTATGTTGTCTAGGCTGGCCTTGAACCCCTGGGCTCCTATGCTTCTTCTGACTCAGCCTCCTCTGCAGATGGGATTATTGATGTATGTCACAGCACTCAACTGAAAAAAAATAATTTTAATAGCTATTAAAAGACTGGTTTATTTTCATAAAGTCATCCTAATTCTCTTCTTAAGGAGTCCTTGGCATATAAATAAAAAAGAAATGTGAGACTAAACATATTTTTTCAAGGGTAAAATGGATGAAAATCGRTGCACAACTTTCTATACATTTTATTGCATAATTTTTCTAAAAATAATTAGGGAAGTGTAGCAAGAATGATGATCTACCTCATGTTAAAGTCTGAGTTTATGCTTTATAAACAACTTTTCATATACATTTTTGATATATGTTATTACCCCCATTTTATTAGTGAGAAAACTGCTATCAGAAATACAATCAGAAAAATTTAATTTAAAAATTTAATCAGAAAAATTAAAATGATTCTTTGGGGAAAAAAATGTGTCTCACCAATGGTTCACACCCAGAGAAGAGATATTTATTTAGTCTTCGTTTCGTATCAGAGATGAAGTTCTAAGTTCTAGAGAAGTAAAGTAATTTTTAAAATTCACAGAGCAATTTCGTGGTAGAGCCAGGACAAAAATTAAGTTCTAGCACTTTCCCAATCATTCGTTCCATTATGCACATTTTCAGAATTTMTAATGAATTTATAATCTGTGACTCCAGACTTCAGTCAATCTTTTATTTTGCCTTTGGTTATTTCTCATACATTCATGGCCCCTTCTCCCAACTAAATTAATTATCRTCATTTAAATTCTCTTTTCTCCTGTTTTATCTTCCAGAAGCTTGTTTATCATCCATTCCTGGTAAGTACTATTCTTCAACATCTTAATAATCAATTAAATCAAAATTAGCATCAATAACCTTTGTCTCCTAAGTCACTGTTGCCCTCACGTGCTCTTTTGGAGCTACCCTGTGCCAGCTCTGAACTGAAACAACAGAAGCAAGGAACCTGGGATTTGTCGGTGCAGTTATTCATTTATTCACTCATCAACAAGTTTACTGAGCACATACTATGGATAGGTTCTTTTTTGCACTAAGAAGACAGCAATGAGCCAGACTGATAAGATCCCTGTCCTCAAAGACCATACATTCCCCTCTAATTCTACTTGATTTAGTATTTGTGACTCAGCAACTTGACACAGAAGCAGTCTTGGTATCAAACACCCAACCGTTCTCTGTATAGCTATAAGTGGGGTGTCCATCACACAGAATTAGGTCTAAGCACCAAGGAAATGATAATTTTTAGGTCGGTTCAGAAAATGTTTCTAAAGTACTTTTATGCTAAGCACTAAAGCTACAGAAATATAGAAGTCAAGGAATAAAGTGCTTTTGTTTTGATTTGGTTTGGTTTGGTTTGGGGTTTTTTGGTACTGAGGATTGAACCCAAAGTTACTTTACCACTGAGCCACATCCCCGGTCCTTTTTATTTTTCATTTTGAGACA